GCTGCTGCTGCCTGTATGTACACCGCAGCAAGCTGCTTATACACCCCAAATATAACCCCCGCCCCAAACGAACGAGAACCTAGGGCGATAAACAAGCAACCGCAGCAGCAGCAGCAGCAGCTGCTGCTGCTGCTGCTGCTGTTGCTGTTGCTGTTGCTGCAGCAGCACTTGCTACCGCAGAAGCAGGCTGCTGCGAGCTGTGCCTGCTGCTGCTGGTAGCGATGCTGCTGCTACCCTTGCTGCAGCTGTTGCTGCTGTTGCTGCAGCACGTGCTGCTCCTTCTGTTGCTTCCGTTGCTGCTGCTGCTGCTGCTGCTGCTGCAGCAGCAGCAGCAGCAGAGCAGCAGGTCTCTGCAGCAAGGAAGCTTCCCCCCAATGACGCTTAACTGCGCTCGTCTGCACACCTGAGCCTGCATGCTGCCGCTCCTGTTGCTGCTGCTGCTGCTGTTGCTGTTGCTGCTGCTGCTGCTGCTGCAACACCGCAGCAGCAGCAGCAGCAGCAGCAACTACGGGTACACACAAAATATGTGAGAGGTGCAGCGGCTCTCTAGGCGGGTCAGCGTAACGAGCAGACAGCCCGTGCATGCAAACAGCAGCACGTCCACAGCTCTGCAGCAGCAACAGCAACAGCAGCAGCAACAGCAGCAGCAGCAGCAACAGCAGCAGCAGCAGCACAAGACAATCCGGATGCTGTCAATACTTTCTCGCCGTTGCATCCTACTCTTACACACCTTCCGGTGTATCTACTGTAGCAACAGCAGCAACAGCAACAGCAGCAGCAACAGCAACAGCCGCAGCAGCAGCAGCAACAGCAGCAGCAGCAGCAGCAGCAGGAGGAAGAGATTGGTATTCTTACGTGATAAGGGTAAAGAAGAACTGCAGCAGCAGCAGAGCAAAAGCAGCAACACGAAGAGAACGTATAATATTTATATTTCGCTTAAAAAACAAAAAAATAATAAAACAATCCAACAAAAAAACTGAGGTGTACAGGCAGCTAGCAGCAGCAGGCACTGCAGCAGGAGCCACACGCCCCAAGCTTATACGCCATACATCTACCCCTGCAGCAAACAAATAAATAAATAAATAAATAAATAAAATAAATAAATAAATAAATTATTTATTTATTTATTTATTTATTTATTTATTTGTTAATAACAAAAGGAAATACGATGTGGGTAGGGGATAGGGTTTAGGGTTTAGGGTTTAGGGTTTGGGGTTTAGGGCTGCATTCGCAGTATTCTAATGTAGAGCAAACTGCTGCTGATGCTGCTGCTGCTGCTGCTGCTACTGCTGCTGCTGCTGCTGCTGCTGCTGCTGCTACTGCTGCTGCTGCTGCTGCTGCTACTGCTACTGCTGCTGCTACTGCTACTGGTACTGCCGCTACTGCTGCTGCTGCTGCTGCTGCTGTTGCTGCTGCTGCTGCTGCTGCTGCTGTTGCTGCTGCTGCTGCTGC